GGCCAAGAACCACTTCATGAGGTTCTAGTCCTTGTACAGATGCTTGATGGGGAAGGGATGGTTCGGGCATGGTCCCTCGAGTAGCTTCTCGAAGTGGTTTAGGGTGCCCTTCGTGGGCTTCTGACTACCCCTGCAGTCGGCGACGGCCACGAGCGAGCCCTCGCGCCGCTGCTTGCTCTTCTTCTTGATGGGACGGTTGGAGGCGCCTTCGTCGGCATCCTCGTCCCATTTCGCCTTGCCCTTGAGGTGGTCGAAGATCGCTCCGACCGCCTCCTCGCTCGAGGCGTGGCTGGTGGCGATGTCGAGGCGCTCCTTGGTGGTTTGTGGGCCCTTATGCCCCAACTTGTGAACCAGGGACTCGCAGGTGGTCCCAGACAGGAAAGCTCCTATAAAGTCGGTGTCGGCGACGTTAGGCAGCTCGTTGCACTGCGAGGAGAAGCGCTGGATGTACCCACGGAAGGGTTCTCTAGCCTTCTATAGGCAGTTCTTGAGATCCCATGGGTTCTCAGGGCACTTGTACGTGCCCTGGAAGTTCTCCACGAAGGTCTGTTTTAGGTCCTCCCAACCTTGGATTCTGTTGGGCGGAAGGTGTTCCAACCATGTTCGCGTCGAGTCGGCCAGGAACAATGGGAGGTTGCGGATAATGAAATCATCATTATCCGCTCCACCGGCTTGGTAGGCCAGCCGATAATCCTCGAGCCACAATCCGAGGTTCATTTCCCTAGAGTATTTCAGGATGTTGGTTGGTGGTCGATACCTTGGCGGGAAGACGGCATCGAGGATGTGTCGGCTAAAGGCCTAAGGCCCCAGCAGGTCGGGGCTTGGGCTTTGGTCTTCGCCGCTGTCGTAGCGTTCACCACGACGAGGGTGATAGCCACGGCTAGCTCCCTCTCTTGGGTCGTCGTGGGAACGTCTAAAGGCGTCGAGGGTGTCATGTGCGTCACGATTGTGGCCGAGACACTAATGCACCGAGACCATGGTGCACTGCCTGCCACCTTGTGGCGCCTGGTGGACTGACGCGTCCTTGTCGGGGCGCTCTGAGGGCATGCGCTAGCTGGTGTCGAGCTCGCATCGCCGAGACAATGAGCTCTCGGCCTGCTGCGTCGCTACATGCTCGAGCAGCGTGCGAATCTCGCTGTGGACCCGACGATCCTCGGGCGTCGTGGGCCCTAGAAGCCCACGGAGCAAAGCCGCCGCAGCAGTGATGTTATGGCTTGCCCGGCTGAAGTGTGGGAGGGCTTCATCGTCCGCGATGATCCTCCAATTCACGTCACGGGCCATGCCGCACATGCGCCCACCGTCTCCATGGCGCTCGATCTCTTGATCGAGCTCCGCGCGTTCCTGCTCGAGCTAGAGTCGTGCTTCCTCAAGCTCTAGGTGTCGAGCCTTCAGCTGCTCCACCCGCAGGTGGGGTGGGACCCCTGTCTCCCCCTCGACCTCGTCGTCGAGGTTGTTTGTTGGGGCAGCCTCCACCTTGTGGATGTTTTCGACGTGTCCCTTAGGGGTACGTGCCATAAAACACTCACGAGAGGGGTGATGGCTCCCCCTGCTAGAGTCGGAGGCAGAGGGCGACTCTGTTTCCTCCGCGAGGAGGTCGTAGAAAGACTCCGTGACATGTTCGGTCATCCCCATGAACTCATCGTTCATGGGGAAAGGAGGCGTGCGTTGTGCCACAAGGTGGCCATCGGTCTCTGCGATGTTGCGGAGACCGAATGAGAGTGCTGTCGGGGCGCTCCGGATGAGGTTTTCCAGAGAGAGCGGCTCCCCTCTGGCAAGCTGCGCCATGTTGTTGGCGAATGAGAAGGCGAGGTGGCGCAGGTCCTCCCGGGACGGCTGGGGTCCCAGGAAGGCACCGAGCTAGTGCTCCAACCTCCCGTAGTCGAAGTCGAGGAGCTGGTTGCTTCCGGGGGCGCGGGCCTCTGGTGCGTGCATCTGCAGCTCCTCAAGTGCCTCGGCGATTGTGTCGAGGCCGGTGGAGTGGAGAGGTCGGACGGCGACGCGAGCCATCGCCAACCCTCCTTCCATTGTGACGATGAAGTCCAGGTCCCCGAAGCGCACGTGCGTGCCCGGGGCCCAGCTGAGGTCGTGACTAGCCATCCGAGGCCTGGTGTGGATGTCGAGACGCGCAAAAGGCCCCTACCAGGCGCGCCAACTATCGGTGTTTCGAGTTGCCACCAACAAATAAATTTGTATTATTGCGCGTCTGGGCCGGATGGTGTGCTAAGAGGACACGAGGTTTATACTGGTTCGGGCAAAATGTCCCTATGTCCAGTTCATTGCTGATGCTCGTGTTACTAGCACTGAAAGTTCATAGTAGGGGTTACAAATGGTCGAGAGAGGGACAGGTCCTAGGTCTCTGGTGGTGTGTCGCGATGAGTTCCAATCGGTTCGGAGTTGAGTTGAGCTCAGATGTGTTTGGATGCGGGATCTGTGGTCTGATGTCCGATCGTTGGTTCAATGCTAGTGGTTTTGATCTGATCTAATGCCATGTGTGATAGTGGGATGCCCTGCTTTCCCTTTTATAGGCCTAGGGAAAGCACGGGTTATAGCGGGAGAAAAGAGGAGAACGAGAGAGAGAGAGAGCGAAAGTCCTTCAGGGTCATCGGGCCTTTCTTTTCCTTTGTGTAGGTCCCGTTGACACGGCAGGTGGTGATAGGGACAGCTCCACGCTGGGTGTCTATCCGCCAATGATGCCATGCCCTGACGTTGTCATCGGGTCGTGATGTCCCACTCCGCCCCGGCGGGCGACGTGGTGAACCAGCGTGCTGATCAACGGCCATACAGGGAGTAGGCAGCATAGTGACCACGCGTCCGTCACTGTGGGCGATGTGAGTTCCCTGGAATGACATGTCGCGGGAACGGGTCATGTTGAGACGTGATCGCTCCCTACACAATGCTAGAAGTTTGACCTTGGGTTCTACTTTCTGGCCCATAGTGGCTGGCGGCGGTGTGAGCTTCTGTTAGGAGCCATGCCCGAGGGATCAAGCGAGGCGGAGCCAGCCCTCAGACATCGGGCGAGGCGAAGCCTGCCCTCAGACATAGGGCGAGGCGGAGCCCGCCCTCGGGGGTCAGGCGAGGTAGAGCCCGCGGCCTCGGTGTCGGGCGAGGCGAAGCCCGTCCCCAGAGGTCGGGCAAGGCGGATCGCACGACCTTGGGGTTGGGCGAGGCGGAGCTCGCCATTAGAGGTCGGGCGAGGCGGAGCCTGCGGCCTCGGTGTTGGGCGAGATGGAGCCCGTCCCCAGTGGTCGGGCGAGGCGGATCGCATGACCTTGGGGTTGGGTGAGGCAGAGCCCGCCCTTAGAGGTCGGACGAGGCGGAGCCCGCGGCCTCAGTGTCGGGCGAGGCGGAGCCCGTCCCTAGAGGTCTGACGAGGCGGATCGCACGACCTTGGGGTTGGGTGAGGCGAAGCCTGCCCTTAGTGGTCGGGCGAGGCGGAGCCCATGGCCTTGGTGTCGAGCGAGGCGGAGCCCACCTCTAGAGGTCGGGCGAGGCGAATCGCACGACCTTGGGTTTGGGCGAGGCGGAGCCCGCGGCCAAAATGTCGGTTGGAGCTGTAGTCGCACCTTTGACTGCCTAGATGGATTAACGTATAACGACCATTAGCCTCTTCTCTTCGGGTACCCTAGTATTGGTCTTTGACACCGGGTGATGGCGGTGGACGAGCTGGAGTAGGGCCAGACGGATCTGAAGTGGGAGATTTCCAAGCTGTGCCATCCACTGAAGACCTAAAGCAGGCCATCTACGACGGGGAGCCTCCATCTGTGTCGAAGAATGTAGATGTGTCGGCAGAGCCGCGCGGGTTCTTGGCCATGGGCCCCTGCTCCCGTTCCGACGTGACGAGCTTCCCCAGTGATGGATCCAAGGGTAAAACAATCTTTCAAATGAGATAGTACTATTTATTAGCTAATGGATCTAAACAGGGTTGGGCTAATTACTAGTCAGCTAATTACTAGTTCTAACTAATCACTAGTCAGCTAATCACTAGTCCTAGTCCATCCAAACAGGTCTTTAATGAGATCTACGACTTTCTAGTTTTGAAATTTTTTTTATTTGATATTGTTTAGATTTTTCTAAAAAGAATGATATAAACAACTTCGAATAAAAACCAAACGCAATAGCGATGGCACGACTTGGGTGAGTGGTCACGGCTGACAATAGTGGTGTGAGAGTGCAGTCATGTGCAGTGGTAAAAGAACACATTGAGAGGTTGCCACATGAGGCCTCACAAGTCAGTACCTTATCCCACTTCTACAAAAACCTTTAAATTAAACATAAAAACTAGAATGGACCTAACGTACTAAGCGAAACATGAGATGGGCTCATCCCATCCAGAAAAATTTAGGTTTGGACCGACCCATCCTTGGTAGTTTAGGTTAGTATCGATCCATCCTCGGTAGTTCCAAGATGAAACAAATGCTAAGGGCGTCCTCAATGACCACGACGAAATCGCCGGCTCTGTACAAATAAATAAAGGAAAAAGCTGATAGCCACACGGTATGGAGGGAAGTGCGGTCGTGTAGCAGGGACAGTAGATTTTCGGGAACCGAACGAGGTAGGCGAGGAGCGAAGCGCTAGTGAGCAGTTTTTGAGATGTCCTCTCTCCTCCACGTAAGCAAATAGCTAGGAAGTTGTTGGGGCGCCCTAATATTTCGAAACGTAACGGTGTCGATTGGATGATAATGCAAGCCATCCGTTGCTCTTAAAATGCCGGTTGCCAGCTTGGTTTTGCTGCCATTGCAAAGACGACTGACTGCTGATCTTGCAAGTTTAGAATGCATCCCAATTCCCATGCATAGCCTGCAAATTTGGAATGGATCTTGCAAGTTTGCGCATACGTTCCTCTCCATCCAAGGTTTTGCATTGCTTGTCCCCTGCTTTGACAGCTGCCCTTCAGATATTCTTCGGTCAGTGTGTGTGTATATGCACCCGCTCCTTCTGTTCCTACGTGCAAAAAAGTTTCACAGCTAGCTCCAATCCAAACACATCCCTGGGATCTAGAGATGGCTGGCACCGCCCAGGGTGCCATGGACTTGCTGTTGGGCCGCCTCTCATCGGTGCTCCTGGAAGAGGCGCAGCTGCTGCGCGGCGTCCACGACGACGTCGAGTTCATTAAGGACGAGATGGAGAGCATGAACGGCTTCCTCCTCGACGTCACGGCCGCCAACCGCCCCAACCACCAGTTCCTCCTCTAGGCCAAGCAGGTCAAGGAGCTGACCTATGACTCCCAGAACTACATTGACCGCTACGTGCAGTGCGTCTCCGACGTCCCCGACGCCGGGGCCGGCTTAGGCACGGGCGTCCTCGCCACCCTTCGACGCGCCCCGTGCCTGCTGAGCACCATGCCAGTTCGCCACCGCACGGCGATGCGAATCCGGAAGCTCAAGGCCCAAGCGCACGATCTGGGCGAGAGGTAGCGCAGGTACGATGTCACCGTCCCGCATGTGGCTGCCGTCGTACCCGTCGCCGACACCGCCGCGGAGGACGAACAAGACGACGCGCGGAGGCGAGCTCTGGCGAACGCCACGGAGTTCCAGGATGAGGACGTCTGGGAGGTGATCAGCTGGCTGACCAAACACCTGCCCTGCGGCCATCCACAGCGCTGGCTCTGGGTCATCGCCATTGTGAGGTGGCAGTACCAGGAAGACGAGTACCCGCTGACGAGGAAGGTGTACGAGCATCCTTCCATGGCGAGCTGCTTCCATCTCAAGGCCTGGATCAATGGCATCGAGAAGTACATGAAGCGCAAGGAGACGCTCCAGTGCATACTGGACCAGCTACCCGCACTGGATGATGATCATGATCATGCAGACAAGTTAGTGGCAAGCGATGGCGACATGGATGAGGAGGAGGCACAGTTGGTGAAGAAGCTCAAGAATCGTCTCAAGGGCAAAAGGTTCTTGATTGTCGCCGCTAACGATCCATATGGAAAGGTGCGAGCAGAGATAGAATCTGTGGCTAGCTATTGTTGGCCCCTGAGATCTCCCGCACAGGTGAGCTAACTACTCATCGTCGTTCCCGATCACACACTACAGCTGGAGGATTAAGAGGGAGGGAGAACAGAGCGCGCACATACACAGCATAAGCACCAGTGTTGACCGAAACTCTGCAGAGTAGATGGTAAAACTGAATTCGCTCTCTTTACTGAGTTGTAGTGGGAAACTATATATACAACTCTACCCATCTAATCCCAGTACACAGATATACCAGTCTGCCATGCTGCTACAGTGACTAGATATGACAGCAGGGCTGACTCTGGTGCCCGCCCCTGCTGTGGCTACAGTGCTGCAGGGGAGTCTTTCGGCGTCTGCCCCTGGTGCGGCTACAGTGCAGCAGTAGGGGAGCCCTTTTAGTGTCCGCCCCTGCCGCGTGTACAGAGAAAGAGTAACAGATTACTTTACAATTTTTTTCCTAATCCTGCTGTTAACCCTAGAACCTCCACCATGCTGATCATCTTCTTCAGCTCCGTGAACCGAAGACGGTCGAGCGGCTTGGTGAGGACGTCCGTGACTTACCGACTAGTTTCGACGAACTTGATGACGATCTGTCCTTCATCAATACGGTTCCTGAGGAAGTGAAACTTGACGTCGATGTGCTTGCTCCGGTCGTGGAGAACCGGATTCTTCGCGAGGACGATAGCGGACTGGTTGTTCACCATCAGTGCTGGTGGGTGAGCTTCCACACCGGTCAGCTCGCCCAGCAGCCGGTGCAGCCACACAGCTTGGCACGCCACTGTGGCTGCCACCACGTACTCTACCTCACACGTGGACAGCGCCACCACCTTCTGTTTCAGCGACAATCATAAGATTAGAGCCGACTCGAGGAAGACAAGCACACTAGAGGTGCTCCACCATCCGTCGATGTCCTCCGCCATGTCTACATCGCTGAACACAGTGAGCTACAGCCTATTTCCGTTGGTCTTGGGGAAGACGATCACCTAATCCACCGTCCCCTTGACGTAGCGTAGTAACCCTGTCACCGTAGCCCAGTGATCCTCTCAGGGGTCCTCCATGAAGCGGCTGACGTAGTCCACGGCGAACGCAATATCCAGCCTCGTGTGGACTAGGTAGCGCAGACCACCGACGATGCTCCGGTAGAGTGTTGCATGTACCTTCGCCGCGGTACTGGCCTTCGTCAGCTTCAACCGCTCCTCCATTAGAGTCACGCACGGCTTGCACTCAGCCATGCCGCTTCGCTCCAATAGCTTTGAGGCGTACGCGCTCTAACCGAGTGTGAGCGCCTCCTTTACCTGTCTCACCTCGATGCTAAGGTAGTAGAAGAGCGCGCCGAGATCGCTTATTCAAAAATGAGCCGCCATCTCCCGCTTGAAGCTATCGATGTCCTCCGCACGCGCGTCGGTGACGATCAAGTCATCCACATACACGTCGGCGACGAGCTCCTCCTTCCAGTGTTGCCACGTGTAGAGCGCGTGCTCGGTTACGTACCGCATGAACCCAAGCTCACCTAGCGTGGTGTCAAGCTTGGTGTTCCACGCTCGCGGGGCCCGCCGTAGCCCGTAGAGCGCCTTGCGCAGTCAGAGCACCCTATGTTCCGCTCCCTTGACGGCGAAACCCAGAGGTTGCCTGACGAAGACCATCTCCGCCAGCTTTCCGTTAAGGAAGGTCGATTTTACGTCCAGGTGATGGACGCGCCAGTCCTTCACTGCTGCCAAAGTCCGCAGTAGTCGGATAGACTCTATGCGCGCTCCCAGCGCAAAGACTTCCTCGAAGTTGATGCCCTCGCGCTGGACAAAGCCTCAGGCGACGAGGCACGCCTTGTGCTTGACAATGGCACCACGCTCGTCCTGCTTGACCTTGTACACCCACTTTAGGCCGATCGAACAGCATCCTAGAGGTGGATCGACGAGCTCCCAAATCTCGTTTTCCTCGATTGCCTTCATCTCCTCCAGCATCGCCCGTCGCCAATTTGCATCGCGCTCGGCCAGCGCGAACATGGGTGGTTCCTCTACACTAACGAGAAGCAGCTCTGGGTCATTGAGCAGCCGACCCACCAGGCCTGAGGACCCTGTGCTACCGATGATGTCGTCTAGCCTACGGAACCGCATCTCCTCACCGTCGTGGAAGGCATCCACGAACTTGGTGATGTCGTTTGGAGGTGAGGTGAACTCGATCGGCGTTGATGGAGTCCCATATTCCACCGGAGTGGTCAGCACAGCATCTAGAGTGGTCGGCACCCCAGCTGCAGTGCTCGGCACTACTCCTGGACTGCTCGTCACCACTCCTGGAGTGGTTGGCACTACTGCAGGAGTGCTCAGCACTAGTCTTGGAGTGGTCGGCACCATTGTAAGACCTCTCAGCTCCACTACAGGAGCGTTCGGTACCTGCCCTAGAATGGTCGGCACCACTGTAGGACCGCTTGACACTCGTCCTAGAGTGGTCGGCACCACTGCAGGAGCGCTCGGCACCACTCCTGGAGTGCTCGGCACCCCTCCTAGACCGCTCAACACCGCCCTAGGAGTGCTCGACTCTGTTGCTGGAGTGGTCGACATCTCCTCTCCAGCGTCTCCACCACCATGGATGACCAAGTGCTCGACGATGAAGGTGCTGGTGAAGCCGCCAGCTTCCCCCATGCCCGGACTGTCCTAGTCCTAGGCCGCCTTCTTGTTGAACATGACGTCACGCGAGACAACCACCTTACCTTCGAGTGGGTCGTAGAGCCGGTACACCTTGGTACCTTCCTCGTAGCCTAGGAGCACCATCGGTGTGCTCCTATCCTCTAGCTTGGTGAGCACCGGCTTCGTCTTCCTGACGTGGCCGATGCAGCCGAATGTCTGGAGGAAGGACACGCTCGAATTGCGCTCATACCAAGCTTCGAATGGCGCCACGCCCTTCAGGTCCTTTGTGGGTGCGTGGTTGAGGATGAACACCGCTATGGTCACCGCCTCACCCTAGAACCTTACCGGTATGCTCTTGGCCTTCATCATGGATCGAGCCATGTCAACCACCGTCTAGTTTCGCCGCTCCACCACACTATTCTACTGTGGCGAGTACGGCGTGGTGTAGTATCGCACCACACCCTGATCCGCACAGTACATAACGAACTCCATCGAAGTGAATTCGCCGCCGCGATCAGTCCGCAGCATGCGCGGCTTCTTGCCACTCTCCACCTCCACGCGCGCCTTGAACTTCTTGATCGCCTCGGTTGCCTCGTCCTTGCTCGTTAGGAGTTGTAGCCACATATAGCGACTGCAATCATCCACGAGCAGGAGGAAGTACCACCGACCACCATTTGTGGCTAGCGTGATTGGCCCGCAGAGATCGCCGTGGACAAGCTCGAGAGCGTCCGCTGCGCGATACTTGGCCACCTTTGGGAATGGCAGCCTCCTCTACTTCTCAGCCAGGCAGCTGTCACACAGCTCGCCTGCGTGCTTGATGTGGGGCAGCCCTCGGACCATCTTCTCCAACCGACCAAGTGCGTTGAAGCTAAGATGGCCGAACCGGGCATGCCACAGCCATGGCTCCTTGGTGTGCCGTGCTGTCAGGCACATCGGCTGCTCCACCTTCAAGTCGAGAAGGTACAGTCAGTTCTGGGACCTGTTCACCTTGGCTAGAAGCCGCTGCTCTGGGTCCCTGATCCTGAGGACGCCGTCCTTGATCAGTACCTCGCTGCCGCGCTCATCCAGCTGGCCAATGCTAATGATGTTTGAACATAGCTACGGGATGTAATATACATCCGTTAGTGTGTGGTGCTCGCTGTTCTGGCACCTGGAGATGATGGTGCCGCGCCCTCGGATCGCCACCCTTGAGCCATCACCGAACTTCACCATGCTAGTCACGTTGTCGTCGAGCTCGGAGAAGCTTCCTTGGAGCTCGTCATGTGGTTGCTGGCACCGGAGTCTAGGTACCACCGCTGCTCCTACTCGCCACCCACACGTCGAACGTGGACTTGGGCATGCGGTTTGTCAAGATTGATAACCTTCAGAGCCTTGCCGTGCCCTTCCACCGCCATCACCTCTCCCTTTTCCTTGTCCTCAACGCAGTGCAGTGCACAGAGCGTCGCCATCAGGAGAGTGGCCTCATCATCCTCATCAGCCTGCGCTAAATGAGCCTCAGCCTTCTTCTCCTGCTTGTAATTTGGGCACTCCTTTGCCCAATGGCCCATCTTTCCGCAGTGCCGGTAGGTGTTGGGGTCGACCTTCTTCTTCTTCTTCTTCGAAGAAGCCTTGCCATGGTGCTTGTCATTGCCACCATAGCTGGAGGAGGCTTCCCCGGACTTCTTTCGGGCAGCCCACTCCTCCTCTATCAGCAGCAACTTGCCGCTGTCCATCGTTGCTGTGGCCTGCTCCATGCGTTCGTCCACCGCCCGTAGATGGCCTGTCACATCCTTAATGATGAGGGTGGACAAGTCCAGCATCATCTCTATGGAGAGAGCGATCTGGATGTACTTTACCGGCATGGAGTAGAGGTACTTGGAGACCGCCTCTTCTTCGTCAATGGTGACGCCATGGCTCCTCAGCTTGCTGATGAGCGACTGCAGGTGGAGGGAGAAGTCCTCCACTGACTCACCATCTTTGAACTTGAGGTTGGCGTACTCTTGCTTCAGCAACTGGGCCGTTGCCTTCTTTGCATGGTCGGAGCCGATGCGCATCGCTGCAATAGCCTCCCATGCCTCCTTAGCAGAGTTTTTATCCCCCAATGGCTCCCTATGCTCTGCTGGCACAGCAGCAAGGATAGCCTCCAATGCTAACATGTCATCTTTTTCGTTGTCGGTGCCTTTGTCAATAGCATTCCAGAGCCATCGGGCTCTGAGCTTGACCTTCATGGTCACCGCCCACTCGCTATAGTTGGTGCGAATCAGCGTCGGCCAACTGGTGCCGCTGACCTCCCGCACCATGCGCACGATGACCTCCTATTATGGCTGGGCAGCCACAGTAGCATTGCTGCTGTCGTCCATCTCCAAACCGTCTGTCATCGCCAGCGGTTAGTCCAGCGACGGCGCTTGTATGGCTCTAATACCACTTGTTGGCCCCTGAGATCTCCCGCACAGGTGAGCCGACCGCTCACCGTCGTTCCCAACCACACACTATGGCTGGAGGAAGAAGAGGGAGGGAGAACAGAGTGCACACACACATAGCACAAGCACCAGCGTTGGCCGAAGCTCTGTAGAGGAGATGGCAAAACTGAACTCGCTCTCTTTACTGAGTTGTAGTGGGAAACTATATATATAACTCTACATATCTAATCCCAGTACACAGACATGCCAGTCTACCATGCTGCTATAGTGACTAGATGTGACAGCAGGGCTGACTTTGGCGCCCACCCATGCTGTGGCTACAGTGCGGCAGGGGAGCCTTTCGGCGTCTACCCCTGCCACGACTATAGTGCAGCAACAAGGGAGCCCTTTTGGTGCCTGCCCCTACCACGCGTACAGAGGGAGAGCAGCAGATTACTTTATAGCCATGGCAATCCCTTTTTTAGCTGGAAGTGCCATCATTGTGACAACATGGCGGGAGCCATTGTCGGTTCCCTACAAGTTCAAGAACTATCTCAACATTGGCACCCTTTTCCATGAGAAAGCTGTGGCACTAGTCGGTGACCACTGCGACAGTGATCTACAGGAGATCATAAGGAAGATACTCACAAAGCGTGGAGGGAACTTCTTCTCCATGGAGATGTTCGTCTGTGCGCTCTATGTCAATCCCAAATGACCCAAAGAGCAGCTTTAGATTTTGCTAGACAGCCTCACATTTGGGAGCATCATTGCTACACACATGATACTCTTTTCCTACAATGACCTGCCCAGCCATTACAAGAGCTGCCTGCTGTACCTGTCCATCCTTTTTGAGAGGATGTATCTAACATCTAGGTCTCCATAGGATTTTAGAGTCAAGAGGACAAGCATTGTAAGACGATTGGTGGCTGTAAACCTCATCACCAAAAGAGATGGTCTGGGTGCAACTATTGAGGTTGAGCGCTGTTTTGATGCGCTCGTAATCCATGGTCTGGTTCGTCCTGTTGACATCGGTGCTGCAGGCAAAGTGAAGACCTGCATGGTGCATCATCGGATTCTATCATTCATTACCAAGATGGCCAGAGTTAGGGCTTAGTCAACACTGACCTGCCTCCTAACTTGGCTTCTCACCTTTTTATCTGCAATGGAATCAGGCTGCAACAACTCCAGCACTACAAAATGAAAAATGTAAAGGGTGCTGAACAATCCACCGGCTGCTGTTGGAGAAACATCCATGAGCGTCCCATTCCCATAGAATATCCAGAGGATTCTAAATATTTCATGGAAATGGATTACACGGAAGCATTTCTTGAGTTGCTGCACCTAGAAGGATTCGAAGGGTTGAAGAAACACCACCTCAAGGACATCTGCAACAAGGTATATCAGCTCAAGTATCTGAGTATAAGGAACACTGATATCACTGAGCTCCCAAAGGACATCGAGAAGCTCAGATATCTGGAGACACTTGACATCAGGCAAACCAAGATATGGACATTGTCCTCAAAAGCTATCGTGCTACCAAAGCTGATGCATCTACTCACCGGCAATGTTGAACATCAAAGAAAGGATGCTGCCACTGGGTCAGGGGGCAGGTCATTTTCCATTGTGCAAATGCCTCGTGGAATCTGGAGCATGACAGATTTGTAGATTATGTGCCATGCTGAAGTCTCCAATAGTGCCAATGAATTGGTGGAAGTTGGACGGCTGAAGCAACTGAGAAAGCTGGGTGTGGTTCTCCGTGGCAAGGAAGCTCGTCTTGGTCATTTTCTACGGGTGATTGAGAGGCTAAATGAATGTCTTTGCTCTTTGTCACTCCGAATTGAGCTAACTAGCAGCAGCGAAACTCCTGACCTGAACATGGAGAAGATTGCATTCTCACCCCCAAAATTACTTGAGAGCCTAACCATCAATGGCACCATAACCGGGCTACCTAGTTGGATCAAGGAGCTTCATCTACTGTCCAAGATAACTCTATGTGGTACTTCCTTGATGGACAATGCCATCCGGAGTCTTGGTGAGCTCAGCAGCTTGCGGTGCCTCAGGCTCTGGCACAAGTCATACATAGAAATGAGGCTCACCTTCAAGGATGATGAGTTCTAGAATCTCAAGTACCTTGTTGTCGAGGGCTCAGACATCACCACGATCCATTTTGAGAATGGAGCTACTCCTAAGCTTGAGAACATAGTTTGGGATTTCACGCAATTGGTATCTCTTTCTAGAGTAGAAAATCTTCCAGGTCTGAAGGAGATTGAGCTTAATAGTGACTGCAATCCATATTCAATCATACAACACATGGCAGTGCATCCAAACCATCCTGTTGTCATACATAATGCCAATCCATGAGGTGCCCAAATAATCGTTCTGCGTGTTTTTAATATATCTACCTACCTCTGTTGTTCATATGCTGTTCATATATGGTTATGTTGATATACAAGTGTGAGTTGTATTTGAATGAATATAATGTGATATATGTATTGTAATGTACTACCTAGTGATAGAACTTAAGACCGACTAGAAGTAGATCTAGTGGGTATAAACTTGCATTTATGATATAGTAGACCCTAGAACATGAACTAAAACTGAGAGAGATAGAGGGAGAGGATGAGAGTGGAGAGGCGTTACCGACTATCGGCAGGCTTGGCGGAGGAGCTGGCCATGGTGTCGATGTAGGGCAGCAGTGGAGTCCGGCGGCGGTGTCGAAGGCGTAGCGAAGGCACGGTCCAGTGGCGGCGGCGAAAGCGGTGGCGCTTCCCATCGCTCACAGCGCCCCCTCTAGATCGGCTTAGGGTTTGTAGGTGGGCATTGTGGCAGCGGCAGTCAACCTCGTAATTAGTGCCCTAGCCCCCACCTCCTTTTTATGGCGCTACGCGATGGTGGGCCACCAACCATTGATTCGGTTGGGTGCCCCTGATCAGGGCGCGGGATCAAGGCCCGACTCGGTCGTTGGACCGAGTCGGAGGAGATCAACCTAACATTCTCCCCCTTGATCTCAACTTATAACTTAAACTTAACTTACTTTATCTTGTTCTCATTCCATCACAGATCATTGCATAGAGCGTGCCTCATCATCACGATCAGTTGCCATTAGATTAACAGCTACAATGCATCTCTCTATTTTGAAATCGATTCTCATCTAGGCCCTTATTGTCCAGGAATCATAGGCTTTCCCATAAACCCATGCCAGCTAAGTGTTCTCTGAACACATTGGGTGGTAAGTCCTTTGTGAGCGGATCCGCGAGCATCTTTTCTATACTTATGTGCTCAAGACTAATTATATGATCTCGGACTTTGTCTTTCACAACATAATACTTTATGTCAATGTGCTTGGTAGCACCACTTGACTTATTGTTGTGAGCATAACATACTGCTGGATTATTATCGCAGTATAACTTGAGCGGCTTATGTATGTCGTCTACCACTTTCAACCTGGGCATGAACTTTTTCAGCCAATTCACCTATCCTATGGCCTCATAACACGCTACAAACTCAGCATACATCATAGACGATGTAGTGACGGTTTGCATGGAGCTTTTCTACGATATAGCTCCTCCTACGAGAGTAAATATGTATCCTGACATGGACTTTCTATCATCTCTCGCATAATCTGAATCTGAATACCCCTCTATGTGTAGGGAATCAGATCTTATGTACATTAGCATGAGACCTTTTGTGCCTTGCAAGTAACGCAAAACTTTCTTTACCAGTCTCTAGTGTTTCTATTCCTGGATTACTCTGATATCTGCCAAGTAACCTGGTAACAAACGCTAAGTCAGGGCATGTACACACTTGAGCATACTGTAAACTTCCGACAGCTGAAGCATATGGAACCGCTTTTATTTGATTGATCTCATATTGGTTCCTAGGACATTGAAATTCCCCAAATCTATCGCCCTTGACTATAGGAGCAGGTGAAGTCTTACAATTTTGCATATTGTATTTCTTTAGAACCTTTTCTAAGTATGCCTTTTGTGATAATCCTAAAACCCCCTTTCTTCTATCTTGGTAAATCTCTATTCCTAAAACGAACGAAGCTTCACCGAGATCCTTCATATCAAAGTTCGAGGACAAGAACTTCTTCGTTTCTAGTAGTAGATTAACATCACTACTAGCGAGTAAAATATCATCCACATACAAGATTAGAAAAATATATTTTTTATTCTTGAACTTTGCATAAATGCAATTGTCCTATATATTTTCTTGAAATCCAAACTTTCTTATTGTACTATTAAACTTTAAATACCACTGTCTTGATGCTTGTTTTAATCCGTAAATGGATTTCTTCAGGCGGCATCCCATATGTTCTTTTTTTCCACAACAAAACCTTTTGGTTGTGCCATATAAATATTTTTCTCCAAATCCCATTTTAAGAACGTCGTCTTTACATCCATCTGATGTAATTCTAAATTGTAATGTGCTACAAGCGTCATTATCATTCTAAAAGAATCCTTACTTGAGAATGGAGAAAATATCTCATTATAATATATGTCTTCTCTTTGTGTGAAGCCTTTCGCCACAAGTCGCGCTTTAAATCTTTCTACATTCCATTTGGAGTCATATTTAGTTTTGTAGACTCATTTACAGTCTACTGTCTTAGCTCATTTAGAAATTATTTCTAAGTCTCAAACTTCGTTGGTATTCATTGATCTTATTTCATCCTGCATGGCTTTAAGCCACTTTGATGAGTGAGCGTGTAACACCCTAAAATATTATTTGCAAATTAGTAATTAATTTTGAGCATTTATTTAATTTTCTATGTATTTTTAACCTAGGCCAAATAATAAATTTTGGTTAAATACAATTAATTATAAGGTTTAGAAATATGTTTGTTGCATTCATGCCAAAGCATACTATTTTTGGTTGAGTGTAGGGCTAGAATGTTTGAAGTTGAATTCAAATTCCATTTGAATTTGGCTTGGATTTGGAAATTAGAAATAGAAAAGGATTTAATTTTGAAAAACTCTTTCTCTCTCTCTCTTCAGCCCAGCCCCGGAACTGGCCCAGCCTTTTCTTTCTCCCCTTCCCGCGCTCGGCCTGCTCGGTGGCCCAGCTCGCGCCGCCGCTCCCTTCCCTTTTTCCTCCCACACGGCCTGCTCCGCACCAGCCCGCTCGGTGGCCCGCTCTGCGCCCTTCCTCCGCACCGCACGTGCGGCCCAGCTCGGCGCTGTGGCCCACTTCGGCCTTAACCACGCGCCCACGCCCGCACGCGCCCGCTCTCCCTTCTCCCTCTCGTTGCGTCGCTGGCCCTACCTCTCAGCTGCCCGCACGCCCGCTCTTTCTCCTTTCCTCTTGCTACGATGCGGGACCCGCTCGTCAGCGCCCGTCGTCTCCCTTCCTTTCTTCCCCTGCGCTCCTTTCCTTTCTTCGCTCTCGGCGATGGCGCTGCCAAGCATGGCAAGTCACCGCCGTCGCGCATGCAGGGAAGTTGACCAATTCTGCCCACCTCCCACTCCCCTTCTACCGCAACGCTGCCCGCCTACAAAACCCGAGCCGGACCCCCTCCCTCTCTCCTTTCCCATCCGCGCTCAAGCTCACTCACCACCGCAGGCAATCCACCGCTCCCGCACCTCAATCGCCGTTGCCGACGCCTCCCGGAGCTCCGCTGCGACCCACCGGTGCCGTAGGTATCTCCAATTCTTTGATTTGGCCTTGAATTGCTCGGATTTCGCTCACCCGCGTCGTGGTTTCTCTCTCCAGCCTCCACCGTCATCGACCCAGCCTTTGGAGCGCTTCCCGGACGTCGCGATCCTTTTCTTCCGACTTGCGATGAGCTACTCGTTCTCCCCATGCGCCTATTCCTTCAAATAATGCCCTGGACCACCGTATCGGCAAGCTCCCGCCCCGCTGGCCATAGCGCCGCTGCGGGATCGGCACCTCGACGCGTTCCCCGCCCTAGGATTTCATCCCATTGTGTTCGCGAGCACCTATAGTTCATGTACATGCATTCGGTTTTGATCGGGACGGTCCGAAACACCATACCGGTGTTCGTCGCCGGCCATGGCGGGCTCGCTGGAGGCGCTGTGCAGCCGCTGGAGGATCACCTGTACACTCCTCACCGTTAGATCTTGCGTGAACGGCTGAGATTAAAACGTACTGGTTCGCATCTTAATCGGTCCACCGTGGCTGTGGACTCGGTCCATCGTGCCGCGTCAGCGCGCCCACGCCACGTGGTGCACTGCGCCACACACACGCTGATGCGTGGCGGCCTAGTCAGCAACCGTGGTCAGCCGCACCTGTTTTGCGAATTAGTCCCTCGGTTTCCAGAAAAACAACCTGCAGTCCAGTTTAGTTCAAAACAAATACATTTCAGTCCTATTTTTATTCGTTCTAGTCCCTGTAGTTTCTAGAAATAGTACGCGTAGTCCATAAACCATGTAAATTCAGATTTTAATTATTTAATTCAAAAATGAGTTCGAGTTATTTACAAAAATGCCATTGAACCTTATTTCATGTGTAACTTTTGCGTTTTAAGTCCGATTTGAGTGATGCTTTCGCTCACGTGTTCGTAGCAGTACGTAGAATAGATTTATAAGCTTTTCAATCTATGTTTTTACTGTTTGGTGTACTGTTCTAATAGAAGTCTATTTGTATGCATGTAATGATTGGATTGATGCTTGATTGGTGATTTGGAACATGTGTAGAGGGTGAGCAGTTCGTGGTAGCTGAGGACCAGCAACAGGATCAGCAGTACCTAGAGGATAACTTTGAGGAAGGCAAGTGTACCTAAGGCCCCTTGTACCTATGAACTATTACCATTCATACTCATGCATGTGTATAATTTGAAAGGCCCCTTGTACCACATATCCTTGTTACCTAGGATTTGGGTATGCATTTTGGATAGATGCTGCAGCACTTAACATAAAATAATTGTTAAACATGACTAAAGGCATTATGTAATGTGCTAAAATGGAGCTTTTTAGCAACATCTAGGGGGCTAGAGTATAGGGTTGAGTACTCTAGTGCCTCTCCATAAGGACTTAATGCTAAAGCGGCCACCCAGGAGTTTTCGTACAACCCCGAGTGTCATATCGCTCTGACTTTAACCTATTAACTAGATTGTACTAACTCGTTTGTAGCTTTCCGTAAGGGCAAGAGGGGGCCAC